TTTCTGTTGTTTCGTCATATGTCATTTTAAAAGTTTATTTTGACCAAAATATATATATATATATATATTTTGAGTACCAAAAAAAATAAAAAACAATATTCGTTTACCGTAGGTATTTTTGTTTTAATAGGATTTGTCGGACTTGAACCGAATGCGGGTTGGCAAAAATAAAAAATAAAAAATAAAAAATAAAAGAACAAGGCGCGAAAAAAAAAAAGAAAAAGAGTTAAGAAATGTTGGTTAGTGCTGTCCAACTAGCGTTGAATGCGTCTCAGCAGACAAGTTGTCTTTAGATTGTGCTGTACTTTAACTACTATTTAACTATGTGCTCAATCAGACACAGAATGACAGAACACACCGTGCCCCGTCAATCCGTAAGAAGCTCGGCAGGCAAACAACTGCTATCAAAATTCAAGGGATGATGTTTAGTTTATGTATTCAGAATTATAATTCATAATTATTTTTATTTTATGTGTAATTTATTTAAAAGAAAATATTATATTATGATTCAAAATTAATAATGAATATAAGAAACAAATATTTAAAAAAAATTATAATTTCAATTATATAATTAGAAAAATAAAACTATCGTTTGTTTCATATTTCTATTGTTTTTAACTGTTAGATTTATAAATATTTTTTTAATTTCATTTAATTTCAATCAAATTTAACAGTTAAAAAACTAATTCAACTAAGAACAGAACCAAAAAAATAAGAAAAAGAAAGAAAAAAACTTTAAAATATTAAAAATAAATATGTCGTTCTAAGATGAAAGAAAATATATTGCCTTTTATTTATAAGCTTTTCATAGAATTTACGTACGGTTTTATTTTCGTTATAATTTGGACGCATTATGAGAAGAGAAAGACGAAAGACGCTGTCAAAGACAAATCTCCAGCCAAACAAAAAAAAGAGAGAAAGAAAAAGGTGCTGTAAAACTAAATTATTACCTTTAATAAATCATTAAAAATATAAGAAATTCTAACAATATAGGTTAATAGGATTAATTAAAAATTACAGGAATAAAGTAAGAATTTTTAAAAATTGAAAGATAAATTAGGAATGATACAAAGTTCTAAGGATGTAGATGGTATGAATGATGAATCTAATAAAATTATGAGAAAATTATTAAACTTATCCGAATATATGAGTCTAAAATTCTATATTTTTCTCTTGATTAATATTATTTTAATAAATATAATTATTTGATTAAAACATATATTAATCAAGAGAAATAAATAAAAATTTAGACCTATATAATCAATCTAATGATTATCTCTTTTTTCCTAAAATTATATATATATAATATGGAGGGTAGTTTAGTAATTTAATTCAAACTTGAGGATTCATGGTGTGAAATCGGTTTAGAACCCCAATCGGCCGGGGCGTTCCTTCCTCGACCTTCCACTCACTCACCACCAAAATCATCCCCCACCAGAGCAGCGCGTGACTCCACGCGCTTCAACTGTCGCTCTGTTCCGTACAATCTTCAATCTCCTTTTTTCCACTCTCCTCCTCCTCCTTCTTCTTCTCTTACCATCCAAGCCAAACCAAAAACCAAACACTGTTTCTCCCTCCTTCTCCTTTCTCTCTCTAAAATCCCCCTTTTCTATGGTTTAGGGTTTTGGCCCTTTTTTTTTTCCTTTGAAATTTCTCACTTTCAGACGATAAAACGAAAAGAAATTGAAAGTCCGGTAGCATTTGAAGCAATTTTGGCGGTTCAGAACATGCAATTTCTCCGTCGACGACGACGACCATGATTGAGAAGGCCAGTAAGAAGCAGAAGAAAGGCTCCGTCAGCGAAGAAGACGTTGTCTCTCTCTTACAAAGGTCTCTCTCTAGCTTTTCTCATTCGCAAAATTCATCTTTTTTTTTATTATTGAGGTTTATGGGGTTTTTTTTTTTTTTTGCTTTTTGTGAATTTAGCAGGTACACGGCAACAACGGTGCTGACACTGCTTAACGAAGTAGCGAACTGTACGGACGTGAAGATTGATTGGAATGTGTTGGTGGAGAAAAGTTCGACTGGGATTTCGAATGCCAGCGAGTACCAGATGCTCTGGCGTCACTTAGCTTATCGCCACAGTTTCCTTGAGAAATTCGAGGATGGGGCTCAACCTTTGGTTAGTTTTCTCGCTTTTTCCTTTGAATTCAATTAAAGAATCTCTCTCTTTTTTTTTTTTTTGGGTTTAGTTCTGCTCTTATTCTTCTTCCGAATCAATGTTTTTGAATGTCGGTTCTAGATTGAAGAACTAATTCACCAAAATAGAATGACCCCATTTGTTGTTGAAGACCCTTTTTTCCTTCCCCCCTAAAATACTGCCAACCATTTAGATTATTTTGGATATGAACTTTGTGATTTAGTTGTATTTTGGATATATACATATATATATATATATATATATATAAGTCGGCATTAATTGTTTCAGTATCTCTCTTAGTGCTTTGTAAATCTATCTTGGAAAGTGATAGTTGTTTCTACAAGAATTCAATTACTTGTAGTGTGCTTAGTTATGTTAACTTATCTTTGTTGAAAAGCTTCTTTCTTACACATTTGTTCTATCATTCGCGTATGAGTCCTCCTTTCATGGTTTCTCTTTTTGATGTTATCTGGATTATTTCATTTACTAAACATAATAATGATCTGCCTGGAAGATTGTTTTCGCATTCCATCCATTGTACCTATAGGCTATAGGATAAATGTATGTTTCCTTTATGTTCGGTGATGTTGAACTTGGATTGCAGGATGATGATAGTGACTTAGAATATGAATTGGAAGCTTCTCCTGTTGTTAATAATGAAACTTCAAATGAGGCTGCAGCTTGCGTGAAGGTATGTCAAATTAATTGCATACTCTGAGGGATATGGGATTGCGTTTATTAATGGCAATGGATGGTTGAATGTGTAATTATATAGTGTAGGTGTGGTGTGGCGTGTGGGTGTAATTATTTATGTAATTTCGTAGCACTATCTTATAGCATTGTTAAATAAAATATAGGAAATTAAAAAAAATCTGGCTTTCAAATTGTAGAGATATTAGTTTAGAGCATTTAGAGATAGACAAAGCTTTTATATACATTTTGTTATAGATGTGTGCTCCTAAAGTGCATTTGCTTGGGAGAGTAGTTTCTTGAAAATCTCATTGGACTTGCTAATGTATGAGGAAAAGAAAAACTGACAACCTTACATAAATGGTCGTTTGATTAGGTGTTGATTGCATCTGGTTTACCAAGTGACACCAACCCGAGTGGATCAACAATTGAGGCACCATTGACCATAAATATACCTAATGGCCAGCCTTCGGGAGCTTTAGAACAACCAAGTTGTTCCACACAAGGAACAAACATTATAGTTCCAGTGTCCGTTCAGAAGCAACCTGCACCTGCAGTAACAGTTGTGGAACCTTTAGACACAAATGGATCAGCTTCTGGAAACTTGCTTAAAAGGAAGAGAAAACCATGGTCAGAGGCTGAGGATTTGGAGTTGATTGCTGCTGTTCAAAAATGTGGGGAAGGGAATTGGGCAAATATTTTAAGAGGAGACTTCAAGGGGGACAGAACTGCCTCACAGCTATCTCAGGTAATTCTATCTCGCCCTGAATGACTTGAGAACATAATCTAGTTCCTTAGAGCACTTTCATTGTCCTTTCTTTTATTCTTCTTCCCTGTCTTTGGGCCATGTGTCTTTATGTTCCAACCTTTTATATGGTATCTTAGTCTGTTGAATGCATGTCATTAGGAATTGCTCGTTATATTTTTTCAAGGAGCTGGATCCAAAAAAATATGTAAGACATAAGCAAATAAATTCTTTTCAATGTCAGATTATGTGGGAGTAGCAACTCTCTGCCGTTGTCCAAGGGAAAAAAAGGGGAAAAACATCAAAGTTCTAAATTACATTGATGGGATATTTTACTGATACGAGTTTGTAGTTTGTAACGTAGTTTCCATATTTCCACTGAACTACAGCAGTCTGTTGTCATCTAGTCCGGTCAGGATGTCTGGGTTCCACCCAGTTTTCCCGGGTTCAAATCCCGGCAACGGAAACTTACGAGTAACACATGAAGCAGGTCCTGGTCTTGGTCGGACATTAATAGTCTGTTTCTTCTCTTGGGAAAAACTATTTTTTTCATAATTAAATTCAGAGGTGATGGGTAATTAATCCTGAAACCCTGCCGGTGTTTAACTGTTAGAGTGATTGGACATCCTGAAACCCATAGTTGTTGTCCCGTCCCCTCCGACTAAAATTCAAGGTACTAGTCTTGTAAGGTAAGGAACAACTTCCAATCCAACTGTTTGGAGATGCCAATAAAGTTTATTACTACACCTCTTGTGTCACAACCAACAGAGTGTTGTCTTTAGCATAGGACGCCACGTGATATGGATGCCCACCTTAACGGGAAGGGGGTTGTATTAAGTCTGCGACTTCCTCCCCATAGGTGCCATGGGGTCAGGAGCGGTATAATCAGTCCTTGCTTTGGTTCTTACTCTATCCTTCTCCGGCACGTGATATGGATGCCCACCTTAACGGGAAGGGGGTTGTATTAAGTCTGCGACTTCCTCCCCACCCCCCCCCCCCCCCCCCCCCCCCTCTTTTCCTCGTCTTTGGACATTTTCATTCCTTGCTTCTTGTTCTACTAATTATGTGTATATCCTGATATGCGCAGAGGTGGGCCATTATTAGGAAGCGACATGGAAACTTGAATCTGGGAAGCAGCTCAAATGGTACGCAACTCTCTGAAGCACAGCTGGCAGCTCGTCATGCAATGTCCCTAGCTCTGAATATGCCAGTTAAAAACTTAACAGCTAATACAATAAGCCACGGTGATTCCCTTCATCTTTTTATATTTTAGTGTATTGGAACTGCCAAATCTAGCTTGTCTTTTATCAAACAGCCACTTCATTGTCCGTTGTTCACTTCTGGTGTTAATGTTATCTCAAATGAATAAATGTTGCTTTCACCATTACTTCTATATCTCTACTCTTCCTGTATGCATAACCTCTTTGATTGGGCGCACATGGACCTGCTTTGACACCCTTTCTAGGTCTGTGTTTTGTGTTTAATGTTGATGTCAAGGTTGCTTAACAGGTCATTCACTGGCCAATTTAATAACCTAGCTGCTATTTATCTGGTGCTAAAAGGAGAGTTATGTTTTCACATCTTGATTCTTGAGGACCTTAGGCCCTCGCTGTTGTTGGAGATGAGTCTCGCTGTTGTTTGAAGCTTTGTAGTAGCTACTAAATGTGGCTATGAATTAATTGGGTATTATGCTTCAAGCTTTCATTTTCTTTACATGAGAAAGCTTCAATTTATTATCTACACTGGTTTCTTGTTAATTTGGAAAGGATTAGCTGATATTGGTATTTCCTAGGGACCTTGAAAATGGCTTACTTTTGAACGAACTTATCATGATGAATTGCTGAAGTGATCTTTCCATAATGGATGGTTATCGTGTTCTTTTTACTATTATCATTATTATTTCTTCCAATGTAACCAGGCAGTTTGTTTTGGCCAATTCTTTATGCAAAATTTGAATGTGATTTTAATTTTTAACAGCTGGAACAACTGCCCTTAATAACTCAATGGGAACAAATTCCACCAATAAATCTGCCGGAACAAATGCAGCTGCTGGTGGCAACAGCTCTTTACAATTACAAAATCAGTCTCAAGAAAACCTTGCATCGAAGGAATCCCCAGTTGGGTCATTGGGTCCCATCACAAAAGCTAGAATACCCATGAAAAAACCTCTAGTGAAGTCTACTCCCAGTTCAGATGCCATGGTAAGAGCCACCGCGGTTGCTGCTGGGGCACGCATTGCTTCTCCATCAGATGCTGCATCATTGCTCAAGGCTGCTCAAGCAAAGAATGCTATCCATATTAGGCCCACAGGCAGCGGTTCCATTAAATCTTCAATGCCTGGTGGCCTGCCCGCCCCGTCGGAGGCTCATCCTAATGTACATTATATCCGCACGGGCCTGGCATCTGCGCCAGTTTCCAACTATGCTGCTGCCACACCTAGTGTTCCGTGCCCTGCTTCTGTTAAGTCCATCTCATCGCCAGTTCAACAGACTCCAACTTCAAATGGCACATCCCTAGATGTGTCATCTAAGCAGAAAAATTATGTGAGTTGTACTCCAGCACATGAACTTCCTTTGAAGCAAGAGGCTAAGACAGTAGAAGAAATAAAAGTTCCTGCGTCGGGGTCTGCTGCAAAACAGCAAATCCAAGGAGATGGAGCATGTGTCTCAGCAAATTCTCAGGATGGTTTAGTCCAAGATAATAAAGTGGCTGCACCAGATCCCGATGCTGAGTTGAAAGGTACTTCTGATGTTGGTAAACCAGTTAGTACATTGAATGAGAGGACAGCAGAAAATGATCGACTTATTGTTGACATCAAATTTAAAGATAGGGAAAGTGAAAAAGGTAATGAGATAATAAGTTCCCTTGTTGGAGCAGGTGAGAATAGTGAACACCAAAACATATATAAGATGCAGGAAGATCATGCAGTTGGAGAAAATGTTGAGCCCCAAAACATTGATAAAATGCAAGATCTTGCAGTTGGGGAAAATGGTGAGCCCCATAAAATAGATAAGATGCAGGAAGATCATGCAGTTGGGATAATAAGTTCCCTTGTTGGAGCAGGTGAGAATAGTGAACACCAAAACATAGATAAGATGCAGGAAGATCATGCAGTTGGAGAAAATGGTGAGCCCCGAAACATTGATAAAATGCAAGAAGATCTTGCAGTTGGGGAAAATGGTGAGCCCCATAAAATAGATAAGATGCAGGAAGATCATGCAGTTGGGAAAAACGGTGAGGCCCCAAACACTGATAAGATGCAGGAAGATTGTGCAGTTGGGAAAAACGGTGAGGCCCCTAACACTGATAAGATGCAGGATGATCATACGTCTGAGAAAAATGGTGAGCACCAAAACATAGATAAGATGCAGGATGAACATACGGCTGAGAAAAATGGTGAGCCCCAAAACATAGATAAAGATCTTGCAGTTGGGAAAAGTGGTGAGCCCCAAAACATAGAGAAGATGCAGGAAGATCATGCAGTTGGTAACGATGGTGAGGCCCAAAACACGAATAAGGTGCAGGAGGATCATGCAGTTGAGGAAAATGTTGAGGCCCAAAATATAGATAAGATGCAGGAAGATCTTCCGAGCACGACGGCAGATGGATCCAGTCGGAAATCGGAGAATTCGTGCAAAGAAGCAAGCAATGAGATTTAAATTTTAAGGGGGCAAGAGGCGTCAAGGGTATATTGCTCAAATTAACACTTGTTTTTTGTTTCCTCTAATTTTTTAGGAATTAGGAATATTGTAAATTTGGATGGTAAAGAATCTGGTGGGAATTAAAGGATTGATTACTATCTTTGTCAAATTATGTAAATTATTCGGCTGTTTCTGGGTGATGAAATTTTTAGGGATATTTACATTTTTATACCCTATATTTTAGGTTTATTCAAAATCTATACCTTTAATTTTTGATCTCATCAAATGTATACTTTTAAATTTGATTTAATATACAAATATATCATTTATCTCGGTCAATAATTAATTTTGACCTCTAAAATGACCAAACTATCCTTAAAAAAAAAGAGAAAATAAAACTAAAACTTTTTAACATAACAAAAAATAAAAATTAAAAGCACAAAAAATCCCATTTCAATGGTATTTTGGATATTTTTAAGGTTAAAATCGTAAATTTTTTTATTTTTTTTATTTTTCCAATTTATTTAGGAGTGTTTTAGGTATTTTATGCTTAAAAACGAGGGTTAACTGTGAAAATGTATAAATTTAAGTATTAAGTCTAATTTAAAGGTATTCATTTGATGAGATTAAACATTGAATGTATAGTTTTTGAATAAACTTAAAATACAAGGTATAAAAATATAAATATCCTAAATTTTTATATTGCTTTTGAATATCCAATTCGAACCCTATTCTGAATTGTGTTGATAATATCCACTCTTGTCACGTAGCACTTACCAACCATTAAAACTGGGGGGGAAAAAAAAGAAAAAATTGTTCCATCACATGTAATGTAGACCATGAAGACCAAAATCGGATGTCATGAACAAATACCCCATTAAAGATTTTTTTTTTTTTTTTAAGACGAAAGTGAAAGAGCAACATTAATCTTTCTTCATCAACTATCTGCTACTAGAATTAATGGCAAAGAGGCAAAACTAGAGCATAAAATACAGTGTGGGGAGGAATGGGAAAAATATCTGAATTATTAGGTTGGGGGTGGTCCTGCTGCTGCTAGATCACTGTATTGTTTCTGGAGTGCTGGACTCACACATGAGAAGATTGATGGCTTTTGCCTCTTCAACTTCACACCAAACAGGAAAGACCTTAAAGGAATTCGAGGCCTATGCGTTGAGTGTTTCATGGCTGAATGATGGTCATTCCTTGCCGCAGAAATCCCAAGTTCTCCATTCAGTTTCACCAGTGTCTTCTCTACTTCAAGCTTAAGCCCTCTCACACGGTTAAGACCGACGTTCAGTTCATCGGCGACCTTGTTGTTTTCCTGCTTCATGTTCAACACTTCACCTTGAAACTTTGCAGCCTGGTAATCACTCAGCTCCGGCTTTTCTGCTCTTGAACTGGCACTAGACATCCTAGATATCTCATTGTGGATGTTGCACAAGGATGAGAACCTGCCGTGCAGCTCATCTTTCAAAACCGCGTTGTGTTCGAACCAGAGTTGCATTTCGGTTTGAATCTCTCTTAGGTGTCTGTATATAGGCCTGGCATCTGATTGTAGAGAATGTTGATTAGAGACAATTCCTTCTGGCTTCCTGTTATTGCGCTCCTTTAGTTTTTTCAATTCCAAATGTAGATCTTCTATTGAAGCCTCAAACTTTTGTATTTGATGAACTGAAGTGCTAAACCTCAACCAGAATTCCAGGTTCTCCTCCAGAAGCCCATCAATGTCGGAACGGAACTTTTCTTCGATAGTTGAACTTGAAACAGACTGAGGCCTAGCATCAGCCTGCTTTTCCTTTACAGTAATTTGCTCATCCTTTACAATGGTGCTCTTCAAGTTGTCTTCTGACTCTATGAGATTCTCCAAGCTCTCGACATTTGTGTCTCCAAGCTCAGAAACTGAATCCCTGTCCAAATTTAGAGATGGGATATCAGAGATAGGCGAGATGGCTGCTTGAGTTATGCCCTCACCAGAGGCTTCCTGATTTGTTGCGTACTTGTATTCCGTGGAGCATGTGAATGGACTTTCGTCGGGGTTCATTGGCGGGAATTCAAATTTCTGTTTTAGGTTCTTGAGCTCCTCGTCTTTAGAGGCAACATCACTCTTCAATTCCCTTATCTGCATTGCCAATTCGAAGATGCTATCCCGGTTTTTGTTCTCCATGTCACTTAGCTTTTTCTTCACTTCCTTGTAATCCTGAAGAACTGAAGTGTACTCCTCAAGCAGAATCTTCTCTCTATCCTCTAACCCTTTCAAGAAAAGCTGCCTCCAGTTTGGCTGACCAGTTTCTTCTTCCTTTTCCGCCTCCAATTCCTCGCTTTTAACAGTCACATGACTGGGGTTGCTGCTTTGGTTGGATTCGTTTTCTTCTTTCTTTTCATCCACTTCTACCACATCTTTTGAGACTACTAAATCATTCCCATCATCTGTCTTAGTAGTGTTTTCTCCAATATCCTTTTCGGGTTCGGCATCAGAAACTTCTATTACTTCCTGGGATGTTCTCAAGTTCTCAACCTCCTCATCATGTTTCACACTATGTAGTTTCTCAGAGAGATGATCAAGATTACAACTTGCTTCTGTAAAATGTGTATGGAGGTTGCTGCTTTGTACTTTAAAGCTTTGGTTCAGTTCTTTTACTTTAGTCAACTCTTCCTCCAAAACACTTAATCTCTTGTTCATATTCTCCGAGCCTTCCTTCAAAATCTCCTTGCCCTCTTCTAAGCTCCTAACGTGTGCTTGAAGTTGATCAGTCTCCGAGCCTAATCTCTTCACTAGAGCGTTCTGAGAAGAAACCGCAGTTTCCAAAGTAACAACCTTGTTCACAAGCTCATCAATCTTCTCTGCCAGTTCTGTCACAGTAAGAGAAGAGTCTGATCTCATTTCAAGCTCTTCTTTGATCTTTTTCCTTAACATTTCCGCATCATGTTCATCAATTCCCGAGCCCATGATCTCTTCATCTAAGCTATTCGATTGCGTCTCTTTGGGAAGAAACTTCGCCCTGAGTGTCTCAAACCTTTCGTGTGCTTCTTTGATCCTTTGCTGCTCGACTCTTGCCTCTTCCGCAGACTTTTCTTGCTTCTCTTGCAACTTTGCCAAAGTCTCTTGACATGATTTTAGAGCTGTGGCTGCCATTAGAGTCCTAGCCTCGTCATCCGCGATAACACTGCCAATGCCAAACTCATCTTGCAGGCTACTAACCCTTTTCTGCATATCAGTTATCTGGTCTTCAATGTCCCAAAACTTTTGATATCCATGTTCATACATGCTCTTTACAAACTCCTTCTCTGTTTGCAAGGCCAAAATGCCCTTCTGAAGGCTATCAATCTCCTCTAAGGCCTCAGTTTTCATCAACCCCGAGCTTGCAACTGAGGCTGCAGCAGCAGCAGCCGCCTTGGCTGAGCTAGCGAGTCTTCTAAGTGATGGTGGTCCTTTCCTTGAGATCAACATAGAAGGGCTCCTGAAATCGTTATTGGGAATTTTTGGAACCTTCGGTATGCTTGATCTTTTGGCTTCGGATTGGTTTGGATCGGTAGTGTTAGTACTAGAAGAAGTGGAAGTCTGCGGAACGTCATCTTCTTCTTCGTGATCATCGACATCCATGGCAAATTGAACTCGCTCTGGGAAGGCCGTGGCAATGGTGCGGTTGGCACTTTGGAGCTCTCGAGAGAGGTGATCGTATCTCTCCGCCAAGGCTCGGTATGAGCGAAAGGATTCCTCTACGAAACTTATTATCTCTGGCCTCTTCCTGTAGTACATTTCTGCTCTTTGTGCAAAGGAGTCCCCACCATGGTCAATGATCTTGAGGGTGATATTCACCTTCTCCTCCATATCTATGAGAAAAAAATTTGATTTGGTGAACATGTTATTAGAAAATGATACACAAAAATTTGTCATGGCATTGATAATGATATGATCCTTATTCCTTGTAGAATTAAAAATCTGAAAAATGCGTCACCGTCTATTCAGAAAGAATTGATAAACGTGTAATAATGCAAAAAAAAAAAAAAAAAACATTGATTTTCATTAGTAATCCATATTGTAATAAAAGGATTGAAAGTTGTCAACAAACATTAATATCACTCTATAATATTGTATACACATGAGAAATTAAGGGGAAATAAAAGAAACCAAAGAAGAAAAAAATATACCTTGGAGGTTTTGTTCTAGCCATTTTGACTGTTTTGTCCTAACGTGGCTTGCCCACCACCATGAATATGCATTGCTCGCAGCTCTCTGCAACATCTCTATTTCTCTAATCTAGAGACAAAAAATTTCGAAAAAACCTTTAAATTTTAGGGGATCATAAGAGGAAAGACAAAAAAAGATCGAAAAAAGATAAAGGCTAAGGCATTAAGGCAACTCTGTATGGTCCTCCTAACGTGGCTTGCCCACCACCATGAATATGCATTGCTCGCAGCTCTCTGCAACATCTCTATTTCTCTAATCTAGAGACAAAAAATTTCGAAAAAACCTTTAAATTTTAGGGGATCATAAGAGGAAAGACAAAAAAAGATAGAAAAAAGATATGTATACAAGGCTAAGGCATTAAGGCAACTCTGTAAGGTCCTCCTTAAGCCAAGGCCCTCCTCATTATTAGGAAACCCTTTAACCAATTGCCCATACAAGCCTCAAAATGCTTAAGGTTAATCCTATTAATTAACATGTACCTATTTTTCTCCTTTCTATTTACATGCTCCACGTACGTTGATGAGGCTGAATTTGTGATAGTTAAGAAAACGTTGTATTATAATGATGATTTTGAATTGGGTATAGAATATAGATTTACCACCATGCTTGGAAAAAAAAATATAAATTAAAGTTTTTTTTTTTTTTTTTTTTTTTTGGTTTTTAAGAAAAAGAATGTGATAATGTGTTATATTTATAAGATATAATTACATCTGATTTTGGTACTTTCCATCTTACTAAAATGTTATTGGCTGCTCCTATGAAAAAGGAAAGAAATAATAATAATAATAATAATAATAATAATAAAGAGTTATCGCCCCAAATGTTGAATCAGGGTAACTTTTTCGTTTAAGTGAACATCTTCAAAACGCCAAGTTTTTGGAAATGGCTAAGCATAGGTAGGACAAAACATGCATGCAAACCCAAAAAAAAGAAATGGAAAAGCCTACAATGTGCATGCTACTGCGTAATATCAGATATTAACAGGCCCTTCATCCTGATGAGAGTAACGAACAAAGAAAAAACTCGAGAAAAAAAAAAGGTGAAATGGCCTAGTAATTAGAAGGAGATATATAGGAGAGTATCACTCTGTTGAAGTGTAGCCATTCATTCTCAGAGGTGCAGCCAGAAAAATTAATCAAGGGAGAGGAGTACGTCTGAACTAATGAGGTGAGCAACTGTAAAGAGATGTAGAATTCTAAGGGGTCAAAATACAAATTTTATAAAAAAAATTTATATAAAATTAAGAAAGAAAAAAAAATTCAGGTGGGCTGCCCGCTCGGCGCTCATCCTCTTCCGTGGATGGCTCCGTCCCTGTTCACTCTTTTGCGGGGTATCACTGGTGTGGCCAATCACTTTGATCTAACAAATAAATTGAATCACTTTATTTGGTGAAAAAGAGTGTAATATACAACATCAGTTGATGTCTTTGTTTCTTCCCTCCATCTCCATCCACAGTCATAAACATTTCTTTTTTAACCAGATTTCTTAGCCAAGAAAACATTTTCAAGAGTCCAAATGTGTCATACGAGAGATCTACACACACACACACACACACACATTCATTCAGATGTTTAAGAGATTGAGAGGCTTTCTTGATATTAACAAAATATTTACAATTATTCACAACTTATTTAGAAGGGTACTAGGTAAAACATAAGACCTGCTTCTACTATGTACAAGGCACTTAAATCAAAGAATCACAAAGCAGGTACATGACACAAACACACCCATCAATATCATTGTCCCTAACAAAACTTTTTTTCCCTGCTTATTTTTCTCCCTTTTACTCTTTTTTTTTTCTCCATACTCTAGACAGTACATCCTTAATTTGAAAATGTCAAACTTTACAGAAGCAGTAGGAGACTAAGTCATCTACCAGTTGCAAAGCACTGGAATCCTGAATCATCTGCCGCTCCTCAAAAATATTAGCTTTAATCAACATTAGCCAATTTCCTCTTTTGCTAGCAATATCAATTAACAAACTGGTCCAATCTCCTCTTTTTTTTTTTTTTTAATTTTTAATTTCTGATGTCTTTGAATAGTGTTGGGTCACCAGGTTTTCAGAACATCAGCTCTTCTGCAGAGAAGAAAGCCACTCTTCCATGTTTTTCTTGCTCTCTGAAAATGAAGCAAAAAAGCAGTAGAATTGGATTATCAACATTGATGGTAAATTTCAAGATTGGAGAAAAATAAACTCTCAGCTCTTTACTTCAGTAAACTGTTAAGATGCTCTGACTACAGTTAATTATGTATAAGATTACTGATTACATCATCTGAAGTTGAGCAACAGAAGAAAAAATGGCCTACAATAATAAGTGAGACAAACTATCCATCGTACGGAAATGCCTTGGTCCAACTCACTGACCAATAGTGACAACAAATGATATAAAGGGATGAAATAGGCAGACTCAAATCCACATATTGATATGTGATAACACAATTTTCACTATTGATATGTAATGGTAGGGTAGAATTGTCCAATTGCCAAAGTTAGCAAGCCAAATGGTTTTCACAAGGGAACCTTCCCAACTCGGAACAAATTATATCAACGACATCCAAAAGAACTATAAAGAATGTCAAAACGGGTGCGATAGTAATCACAATGTTAGTCAAATTCCAGAGGCATCCAAAGACATAAGGCCATGTCAAAAACATTTTCATCTTCATAATAATAACTTAAAATGTCAGAATTCACATTAATATAAGAATTTAGCGACTTAGAAATTCATCAGAAAACTAGAAAAAAAAATTGATTGAAATAGGACCAGTTAAACAACGTACCAGCTGAATATCCATCAGGAATGATCCCAACAGTGCTAAGGATAATGTTCTTTGTATTATCCACCATTTCCTCAAGACCACGCCCATAGCATGGAACAAGCACAGCAAAGCTATTGTCCGTGTCATCATCACTCTGAAACTCAGGTCCATGAGGCTCCAACCATCCGATCGACCAATCCGAGTCCTCAGATTCAGAGCCAGAAACGCACCCGCCATCCGATGGCACGAGAACAATATCGTATTCCCGGTCAATTTTCCGCTCTTCCCGGCTATGCCATTTGCGCTTCACCTTTCTTGACGACGAGGAGGAGGCCATCTTGGCCCTCTTAACCAAAGGAAACTTGAGAGCATCAGATTCCCACATCCCGGATTCAGGTGAAGAGTTCAGAGAAGAGCCATTGGACATCCTTGGCTCTTGATGCTTCCCACTCCAAAGCCACCATGAAAGATGAGTAAAAGACACAGCCATATTGTATTTTATTCAAACAAGTGTATGAGAAGTAGTGAAAAATCAATATGATTTGGGGATGGAGTTTCTTCCTGTTGCAACAAATTATGATAAGAACAAACAGATTAGTGAATTGGGTATTCATGAAATAGGATCAAAAGCAAGCATAAGCAATTTCAAAGAAAAATGAACACAAATTACAGCAAAAGATATGACCTTTTGATGGAAAAACCAATGAAGTTTTGTTGCTAGACTTTGAACTATCAGAGAATATATAAGAAAGAAAGATCAAAATGAGTTCATATTTCATGTTTGGTACAAAAATGGACAATTCATCTTCGGTAAGCATAAAAGGGTACAATGAATTTACTCAAAAAGAAAAGTGCGATGAATTGTAACAACCACAAATTAAATGAACACATACAGCATTAGAGTCAAATACGACTCTGACGATTCTTCATCAAATCCCAATTTTCCTCAACAGAAAAAGGCATGAATTTACCAAATATAGGCGGTCGAAATACAATGAATGGGACGGAATTTAAAATTTAAAACTCACTGTGCGAAAATTACTTTGCAAATGAAAATTTTCAAAGATCAATCCAAACCTTCAAAAACCGCGCTTGAATCTTACAGAACCAGAAAAGAAATAAAAATAAATAAAACCCTTGTTTTTGCCAAACTTCCAAATCAATCGAGCAACAAAAATGATAAATCACCTCAAACATATTATGAAATCTCAGAATTACGAAACTATGGATAGAAAATAACAACTAAAAAAAAAAGCTATCTTTTCATTCTTTCATCCCCAAGAAACAAGTTTTCCCCCAAGAAATAATGTCGGAGACTTCATTCAAGTTATTTAAATTCGTTAAAATTCCTCAAATTCCTTCCTTGAAGCTCAAACTTCGAATACCAAATGAAGATTCGTATAATCAAAAAATAATAAAACAAAAAAGAAAGAAAGAAAAGAAAAGAAAACAATCATGAGCCAGTTTAATCTCAATGAATACCTTGAAATTGCATACAAAATCTCAATATCGTTTTAGAACAATTCAATCCAAATTTGCGACAATAATTTTCTTCTCTCTTAACTGACAAGGGAAGAAACTCAATTTATTGAGAGATTAAGAGGAAAAAAAGTATTATTATTAAAAGAAGAATGAAAAAAAAAAAAAGGAAAAGAAAAGGAGAAGAGACGGGTCGTATGGGAAGGTCGGATTCTTCTAACAGAAAATATAAAAACGAAAATATGGGAATTTAATCGTGTGGTATAGGGAACAGGGAATGAAGAATTTACTGGCTCCTATGGCGCCACATGGCCTGCATGTTGAGTGTTCATTGGTTCGTTACGAATAAGGAGGAAATTTTTAGTGTGGGTGAGAATTGGAACGACTGCCAGGTCAGACTAGTGGTACTTGCCGAGAGAATCAGCCTGAATGTCAATCATACAAGATATATTATTTTTTTGGGTTTATTTGAAAAAAAAAAAAAAAAAAACTAATGATTTATTAGCAATTATAGAACGGGAATTGACAAATTTCTTTTGCAATAAAACTGAGAAAAAATTTAAACTCAAGTTACAATTTTATTTAAATTTATGTTTTTTAAGTTCTAATTTTATTTAAATTACAACTTTAATGAGAAAAAATTTAAACTCAAGTTACAATTTTATTTAAATTTATGTTTTTTTAAGTTTTAATTTTATTTAAATTACAACTTTAATTTAAGTTATAACTCAAATTCAACTCAAAAACTACACTCAAGTTACACTCTAAAAGAACAACCCCGTAGTAATTATAACTAATTATAGTCTCGTTCATTTTACCGATTCGAGTTTTACTACCGTAAAAAGTTTTTAAAAACAGTTATAATTAACTTTTTTATTACAGTAAAAAGCTCTCACATAAAGTCACATCTCAACTCGAGTCAGCGAACTAAACGGGCCTTGTATAAGTATATTTATAATTGTTTTCAATATTTGTAACAGGATTATTTACAAAAATAACATCGATTATAACAATTATCTTATAACTAGCACTATTTTTTCATACTTTTATTTTTAACACAGACACGTCAATAAATGTGGATCCCACAGATTTAAAATGTCTGATATACCCTTAGCAAAAGTCCTAGATAGACCAATCCTCTCTTCTCTCTCTTTCCTATTCTCTACTGATGTATTTAATTTTTCCTCTTTTTTAAATTTTTCTTTGATATCTTTCTCATCTTTTACTACAGTGTCTTCATTTAAATTTGACCAATTGGTTTCCTCAAAATCATAACCCAAACCCTTTTTTTTTTAAGATTTCTTACCATATATATAGAAAAAAGTCAAAGTGCTTTTTATTAACACTTATAAATGTGGTTGTGTCGGGCCACATTAGATTCAAACCGGGATTAAACGCCTCTACGTAACATCTGTAACTTATTCAAGTGAGGAGAGAGGAGAAAGAAATAGAGAAAATATGAGAGTTCAAATGAAGAGAGAAAAAGTGAGGAAGAGAAAAATGACGGAGTTCAAATGAAGAGAGAAATTAAAGATGGAAACTGAAATCTGACATTAAATTTTGTCAAGGATAATTTTGACAATTTAACTTATGAATCTCTCAATTACTGATGTAACAGTACTAAAAATAAAAGTATGAAAAAAGTGGTGCTAATTAAGTAATTATTGTAATTGGTGTTATTTTTGTAAATAACTCATTATAATATTTACTTGGAAAAAAAAATGAAAAACAAAAGGCTAATGTGGATTTTCATGCAAAGCGGAAGATTATTTTTACGGGTGATTGGACGAAAGTGGTAAAACTTGACGGTTCTGAGACCCTTGTTTGTTTCTGCTCTAGAGGGAATTGTGCGAAAGATGTTAAAATATTCTATTGGTAGAAACAAGTTTGACCGTCCGATTAGAGGCTAAAGAGAGTAAAACGTGACGGCTTTGGCTTGGTGTCTCATCAGTTGACCCATTTGGGAGGCTGCAAAGTGGGCGTTTGCGTATGGATGCACCTAAAGTAACTCATAGGAAACTCCTATTCAATATATATATATATATATATTTTTTTTTTTTTGAGATTTCTAGCCACACTTTGAAAAAAGAAATTGATAGGTCTCTCTTAAGCTGTCATATTTATATTAAACTGTTTACTTTGTATATTTTTTATTTTGGCATAATTTTAATCAAATGTGACAATCAAAAATAAAAATTATTAATAGAGGTCCTTATTTTAGAAGGACGCAACTTTTTTTTTTTCTATTGAATTTTTGAAGGATCATTTCTCTTTTGGCTGTCTCTCCAACAATTTAACAAGACCTCCCTCTCCTATCTATGTCGTCCATTTAATCGAGTAAAGAAAAAGTAATAACACATCTTATGGTACACCTATGAGGCGCCTTTCTTCCCTTTGTTTTTAGTTTTCTATTTTTTTTTCTGTGGTTTTCTTGTGTCATTTATCGCTTTAATGCTTACAATTTCCTAATATCATTTCGGTAGAAAGCTTACACTCTACATAATAAAAATCCCTCTATTCAAATCGGGACAAATTACACAATTGTCTTTCAAATTATAGACCTTGTCATAAAATACTACTCAAATTTTAATTTTAACTTTTTTCTCCCGATCTTTAATAGTTATTGCAAGCTTTTCTTTTCTGTTAAATTCTTGATGAAAAATGCTATGTAAAATGCAATTATTGTGTTAGCTCCTTTTCACGTACTCACATGAAAGTGCAATTACGTAGTAGGAGTTAACATTTTTTTTCCTATACCTAATTTTCTCCTTAATTTGATTAATCTAAAGACCTTTGGGGGTTTATAACTGACAACTAATAATAATAACATAAGTAAAATTTTGCAAAAATTACTAAAGTTTAGGAGGAAAAATTAAAATTAATAGCGTGTCTTATAAAACATAAATGGATGCTTTTTCTATTGACGTTGCTGGAGAAGGTGTCTAATTAATTGCTTCAAAGGGACACTCAAAGACAAAAACAAAAACAAAAAAAAAAAAAAACTTTCCAACAAGAGGTTGGTCTTTTCATAGGCAACCGTGGCCTTATGAAAATTTGTTGCCAAATTTCATTTATCATCCACGTCCAAAGGGTCAAGATAATGACAATAGCAAGACGCAGTTTGGTAGTTGTCTCTCAAGGTGTGTCTCTATAAAATAGCCTAAAAGGAATGGCGTCCACAAAAATTCTCCTTTGGAAATCCATCTCATTAGTACTTTGAGTAGAGTACATTCTATTTTTTTAGAGTAAGACTACTGTACTTTCTATATTTTTGAGAAATTCGAGAATTAAAGGATTGGTAATGTTTTAGTTCTATTAATTCACTAATTTAACGTTCCGCAGTTTATTCATTAATAGCGTCCTAATCATTATACTATCTTTCGATCTTTTATCCAATGACAACTTATAGAATTCTTTTTTCGACAATTTAATTTATTTTTTTCTTCCTCCAACAATTAACAAATGAAACACATGTACATTGGAAATTCCTTGATTGTATTATTATTATTATTATTATTATAAGTAGTTATGACATATCTCAACCTCTTCAGTCTTGTTCATTTTATAAATTTAAATTTTTAATTCGAATTGAGATATTATTTTTTTTTTTAAATTTTTACCTATAAGAATTTAAAATTGAAAATTTAAATATAAACAGAAATGTTGAATCACTATTCACTCATTCAGAGTGATAATTTGTGCCACATTGGCCAACCAACAGCAACATTCCACATGGCATGTGATTCACTTGACAAAGACAACAATGCTCACCCAATTGCCCAATTATTTTGGCTCATATCGAACTTTTGTGGGTATGCCTCTAGCAACAAAGAAAGATGAAAAAAAAAAAAAAAAAAAAAAAAAAAAAAAAAAAAAAAATCTTTTTTTGGTATGTGATGTGTATGCCACATGAGCTAAAGTCCTATCAACTTTATGGCCTTTTAATTATATAAAATATGTTGCGCATGGGACCAACCAACTACCGAATTCCATTACACTTTTAACACGCAATTATGAATTGTTTGTGCCTTGGACAGTTGCATTTTGCTGTCTTTGATTGATTGGTTTGCCTAATAACAAAAAGTTAAGGAAAAAATATTTAAGGGAATCATACAATCTATTTACTTTTTTTTGACTTGGTGGAAGGCTCATATAATAATGGTAATAACAATAATTTCATGGGTCATGGGATTTCAGGAACCTTCTATGAGGAGAACAAGCAACTTGTGAGATAGAAAATGGATAATTGGGGATAATTGATAGAGCAAGTTACAAACAAATAACAACACGTAATCTCCCAAGATTATCTGAAGTCTTTTTTTTTTTCTCCTTTTTAATGATAACTCCTTTTAGAGTAATGCTAAGATCTAGTTGTCCTAAGTATCACTATTGGGCTGAAAGTAAGCTAAAATAAAATACAATTTTCATCATTGTGCCTTAACTAGACTAGATAGAGTGTCACCTCCTAATATTGTGTAATTAGGTGAGATGCCGATTATTCTCCTGGCATCCGAAGTCATGTTCATTCATTGTCTTAAAATTTATGTTTTTTTTTTTTTTTCATTCTTTATAGACTATTTTGGGTATATTTTGTACTAATAAGTATTTGAGATGTCTTCATTATGCATTTTCCATGCAAAAGTTGTTCAAATCAAAATGAAAGTTTTCCCCGTTAGCAATAGCAATAAATACATCTAAGGCATTTGATTTTTGTGAAAGTTTTTCTTATCCACATACATTTCAAGCCCAATAAACTCTCTCCTTTTAAGAGAATTGTTGAACTTATTTTTAAAGCGCGTTTATCAAACCGTAAAAGAATATAATGAAAAAGATAATAGGATTAAAAAAAATAAAATAATAGGATTAAAAGTCATTTATTTCCTTTCACGTGTTTATTTCACTATTATATCGTATAATGGAAAACAACCATATTCTCTTTCTTATGTTTATTAAAATTAAGAATAATAATGTTATGAATGTATTAATCACTAAAATATCATTTACACAATTAAATAATCATTGATTGTATAATAATTCATTAAGAGTATTAAGTAAATTTAGCATTCGTTTCTTTTGACAAAGAATCAATACTAAAGAGGTGTAAGAGGATTGGTATTCTCTTTCCTCATTTCATGTATTATGTGGAACCTACTAAATCTATATTACTAAATTTGTAAGTAAACACATTATTAGATAGGAAATGGAATCACTCATTATTTCCTCTTTCTCTATGATGCAAAGTAAACATGTCGAGTGTATAGATTTAGACTTTATCATTTACTTTTGGTTAATACCCTTTTAACTAATATAGTCATTTGATTAAAAAATATATTAATAAAAAATAAAGGATAAAAAACTAAAATCAGTTACTTTAAGAAGTATGTGTCTCTTTTTCCTTTTTTCTCATGACAAGAGCTTAACACATTCAGAAACATTCATCCATAATACACTTTTTAATGTTAAATAAGTTATATCTAAATCTCTATATTATTTTTTAGATGAAATATTTATGTGTGTACTGTTTTAGAGATATTAACATTTTCATACAATGATGGTTCCAAAATTGTTATTAGCACCCCTAAAAAAAGAAAAATTAATTTGCAGTAAGACATTCTTTCTTTGTCGTACCGCACCAAACAATTTCCATTTTTACATGATTGCAACCCTGGTAAATATTTACCAAGTGAATTTTTATTTATCAATATAAAATGTTGTTTTTGGATCGTAATTTGAGGATTTACCTGTAAATAAAAAATTTCTTAGAATAATATATTTGCCAAATTGGCACTATATTATTTTAGTAAATAAATTAATATATTTACTAAGTAAATAATTAGTTTAGTAAATAAATAAATTTATAAACATTATGCAAATTATTATATATACTCAAGAAGAAGCATGGTTTATTGTACATACTACATAGCATAATGGAATGTGGGTTTTGTCCCTTGAATTTAAATTGTCGAATTTGCCCTTTTTCTCTTTCTTCTCCCTTTCATGCACAGGCTTTTAGATCTTTTCATGCCCTATAGTCTGATTGTACACTTTTATCCTCAATTTTTTATTTATTTATTTGTTCGTATATTTACTAATTTATATCAATTGTTAATAAAAATTAACATTTATTATTTTGAATACATATCTTAATAATTTTTTATCATTTCAGTTTTGAACTAAAGGCAACAGACCCACCCAGAAAACGCCTAAGAACCAAGTAATATAACTACTTTTAAATCTTTTGATTTACGCTACATATAATTAAAGATTTTCAACTTACTTAATTATTATTATTAATTTTTTTTAATTTGTATTTTGCAGTTAAAAAGAACAAAAATAAAAAAATAAAACAAAAGCTATAATACATTGTAAGAAACTTTTAACTAGAATATTATATGGATATATCTATACGTATATATGTATATATAAACTAATCTTATACTATAAAAATTTCTAACTTTTTGTATAATACAATAATATTTCTCGTAGCAATGCGTGAACTTTTGGCTAGTAACGTCTATTTGTAAGGCGAATAATATAATAGTAGGTGAGCCATTTTTTGGTGAGTATATCCTTTACCTTTTCTCTTAAATGATAAATCCTTTACCCTATCACGTGGGAAAAAAAAATTTATCACGTAAATCCAGTCGTAAACAAAAATTTACGAGGTAAAAAAGTTTTTTACTGTTATTTACTTCAAATATTTTAAAATATGCTATTTACGAAATTTATTTATGTAAAAGAGAAATTTTCAAAAAAAAACCATTAAAGAGGTAACATTATTTTATTTCTTGCATTGTTTTTAAATTTATCTTATCTTTCCATAACTTATAGGTTATCTTTTATATCCACAATTTATTTTTCGTACCTTACAAGTTATTTTACGTACCCTACAGGTTATTTTTCATAGTCTATAGAATATAATATTCTCAACATTTTTTTTTACGAATTATCTCTCAATCTCTCTCTCATTTATCTTCTCAGTGCACGACCAACAACCTCCGACGAGTTTTCTGCTTTTATTTTCGAGACCTCCTAGCTCATCAAAAAGCTCTCAACGAGCTGAGTCTGGAATCGTGTCTTGTGACTGTCAGTTCTATCAGATGAGGCTGCACTTACAGGTCGAAGTTTCGAGACACTCAAAACTCTGGATTGTGATATTTTTGTCATTGATCAGGTGTCGATCTCTACGCACTTAGAGTGACGAGATGAAGAAAACCGAATCAACTTCCCCAATTGAATCTCGTCATAGCACCATCACCGGACTATCATTGAAATGTCATTGAGCCTTCATTGGATTTCACTACTCCGGTGAGTGGTGGTGTGCACCGTTGACATAAAACGATTCAGAGAGTAATTGATAAGTCGGTTTTATACCGGTAAGTTGAATACTTTTGACTTGGAGTTTTGTTAGTTTGAGAGCCAGTTTAATGGTGTTTCGAGTGTTTTTAGATGTGTTTCACAGGTGAAATAGAAAAAGGTTATTGGATGATCATAATGTGGATTTTCAAATATAAATTTTCTTTCTGCAAAAAAATAATAATAATAATAATAATTGTGAAGTGTCAAGCGTCCAGGTGGCAAAATTTAAATTTGGAATACTAGAAGATAAACTGGAATGCTTATCCAAAAAAAAGATTCGGATTATCTCTTGGGAGACTTGAAATTCAAAGCTTTCCTCTACGGAGAACTATATAAACTAAAAGATGGACTTATGTAACAGAGGGGGGCGTGCGGCTAAAAGAAAAAAAAAAGAGAATTTCTACTACGCAAAGAGAGATTGTCTTCTATTTCAATTGCAGATTGAGGAAGAAGGTCGGAGAGAGGGAGATCGTGATCGCCAATTTTTATCATAATCTTTCTTCTCTTCTGTTTTGATTTGTAATTTTAATTATGATAATACTCAATTCAGTTTTGCTCTTTAGTTTTATGATGAACTAATTTATTTTTCTAGGATTGCAATTGGAACTCAACATGAATCTTGAATTTATTTATTCTATCTCTTGACTTAAATTGATCAATATTGAATTGTTTATTCTACCTTGTGCTTAATGCTTCTAATTAATTGATCACTAATTAGATTGATTTGGTAACCTTAATGAACTTGGAAAAGGGATTTTTGTGTTTAGCCTTAGATAGAATGACACATGATTAAGATATGGAAGCCTTAAGCTTATGTAGGATAGGAATATACCTACGTAACATGTGTAGCCAATAAGAGGGGCCTATGCTTAATGAACCTTTCTTAATCTAATTCTCATAGGAATATAGTGAGTTAGGGTAAGGGGGTATTTCTACTTGACATCGGAAGAGCCTTTTAGATAATTTAGACCTCTCGGTTAACAATTTAATTTGATTAATTTGCCAAGAGAGGATAGAGAGATTCAAGTGAAGTGTTGAGGGAAGATTAAAATCCTAGGTTTTTTTTTTATATATATTAAATTTCCGTTGTGTGATCTTTTTAGTTGATTTTCTTTAATTTACATTTTGCTCTCTGTGAACTCATTATTTTCTTTTACTTATTATTCTATTTTATTGTTTAAATAAAGTTGAGGTGGTCTAATTTAATATTTAGCAAGTGTAGTAATAATTCTCCGTGGGAGCGATACTTTATCTCATCATTATATTACTTGTTATCGATACGTGCACTTGCGTTATAAAATTACCAACAAGTTTTTGGCGCCGTTGCCGGGGACTTATTCTATATTTTGCTAATATTAACATCAATCATTCTCAATTTTAATTTAAACATTTTTTTTCTTTTTCAGGCAATTAAGCCTTTGCATGCGACGTAATAAAGGCTTGGAGTTAGTACCTTTGAATCTAGAAATTGAAAAGGTTTGTCGAAAGAATCGGAAAGAAAAACGTCAAGCTTTGATTGAACAACGTGCAATGGCTGAAGCAATTGGAGAAGATCAAAATAAATCCTTGAGGGATTATGCAGTTCCTTAGGTAGATGTAATTCAAACTAGCATTGTGAGGCCTACTATTGGAGCCAACAATTTTGAGTTGAAACCAGCCATCATCCAGATGATTCAAACCTCAGTGCAATTCGGAGGGCTACTTAGTGAGGATCCTAATGCTCGCATTGCAAATTTTCTGGAGATTTGTGATACCTTTAAGTTTAATGGAGTCTCATCGGATGCTATCAAACTCAGGCTTTTTCCATTCTCACTTCGTGACAAAGCAAAAGGTTGGCTGAACTCTCTTCCTCCTGGTTCAATTACTACATGGGAAGATTTGGCACAGAAGTTTCTTGCTAAATATTTTTCACCGGCTAAGACTGCAAAAATGAGGAATGACATAACCTCATTTGCTCAATATGATGCTGAGTCTCTTTATGAGGCATGGGAAAGATTCAAAGATTTGCTTCGACGATGTCCGCATCATGGGCTACCCAAATGGCTTCAGGTACAAACTTTCTATAATGGCTTGGACGGCAATCTTAAGTCCAATATTGATGCAGCTGCAGGTGGTTCTCTAATGGCAAAATCTATTGACTCTGCTTATGAATTACTTGAGGATATGGCAGCTAACAACTATCAATGGCCTATTGAGAGGTCAATGCGAAAGAAGGTAGCAGGAATTCATGAAGTTGATGCTATAACTGCTCTAACTGTTCAAGTGGCTGCTTTGTCTAAAAAATTTGATACGCTGGGAGGCAATGCTAGCCATAATACGTACATGACTTGTGAAAATTGTGGAAGTAATCATGCCACCAACCAATGCTCCATTAATGCAGAATCTGTGCAGTTTGTTGGTAACTATAATAGGCAAGCTAATATGAATTCAAATTACTACCATCCGGGTTTGAAGAATCATCCGAATTTCTCATGGGCTGGCAATCATGGGCCCTCTTCATCATCAAAGCCAATGTTTCCACCAGGTTATCCACCGCAAGCACCACCACAGGAGAAGAAGCCTAATCTTGAAGATTTGGTAGCGCAAATGGCTTCAAATACTAATCAATTAATAACAGAGACAAGGACTCAACTCCAAAGTCAAGCGGCCTCGATTCGAAATCTCGAGATGCAAGTGGGACAATTGGCTAATTCTATGAATAACCGTTCGCAAGGAGTTTTACCTAGCAACACGGAGAACAATCCAAGAAGAGATGATAAAGAACACTGCAAAGCAATCACATTAAGAAGTGGGAAGGAGTTAAATGAAGTTGACATGAGACCAAAAACATCAAGAAAGCCAGAAGAAGAGATTGGGAGCGCTGAAAAACAAGTAAAGTCTCAAGAAGATAAGCCAAAAATGGAGGAGTCTCAGCCATACAATCCGCCACCACCATTCCCTCAACGTCTTCAGAAGCAAAAATTAGACACGCAGTTTTCCAAATTTTTAGAGGTGTTTAAGAAGCTCCACATTAATATTCCATTTGCGGATGCTTTGGAGCAAATGCCAAGTTACGTAAAGTTCATGAAGGATATCTTGTCTAAGAAGAGGAGATTGGATGATTTTGAAACAGTTGCATTGACTGAGGAGTGTAGCGCCATGATTCAAAAGAAGCTTCCACCAAAGCTCAAGGATCCGGGGAGTTTCACAATTCCATGCACTATAGGTAATCAATTCTTCAGTAGGGCTTTATGTGACTTGGGAGCTAGTATAAATTTGATGCCATTGTCAATTTATAAGAGACTTGGTTTGGTAGAAGCTAAGCCTACCAATGTGACTTTGCAACTTGCTGATAGATCTTTGACTTATCCGAGGGGTGTGGTTGAAGATGTTCTTGTAAAAGTTGATAGATTAATCTTTCCAGCAGATTTTATAGTGCTTGATATGGAGGAGGATCATGAAGTGCTTATTATTCTAGGGAGGCCGTTTCTTGCTACGGGGAGAACTCTTATTGACGTACAAAAAGGAGAGCTTACTATGCGAATCTAAGACCAAGAGGTAACCTTTAACGTGTTTAAAGCTATGAAGTTTCCTAAAGAGCCTGAAGATTGTTTTAGAGTGGAACTAGTTAACAGATGTGTTGATGATGCATTTGTGGAAGATTACCCGGTAGACCATCTGGAAAACTATGTAGTTAACTCATCTTTGGCAGAAAAGCACGAGACTTCTGAGATTCTTTATTGGCTGGGTGATTCTCCTGGGGTTTACAAGAGGCTCATCTTTGGCAGAAAAGCACGAGACTTCTGAGATTCTTTATTGGCTGGATGATTCTCCTGGGATTTACAAGAGTAGACAGTTTGAAACACTGAATCGGCCAACTAATGATATCACTCATGATAAGCCATCTATTGAAGTGCCACCTACTCTAGAATTAAAACCACTCCCTAATCATTTGCGTTATGCTTACCTTGGTGAATCATCTACTTTACCAGTAATTATCTCAGCATCTCTTAACAGTGAACAGGAAGACAAATTGCTGAGAGTGCTGCGAGAATATAAACAAGCGTTGGGGTGGTCTATCGCAGACATAAAAGGAATCAGTCCATATTTGCATGCATAAGATTCTTCTTGAGAATGATCATAAGCCTAATGTGGAACATCAACGTCGCCTTAATCCAATCATGAAAGAAGTGGTGAAAAAGGAGATTATCAAATGGTTGGATGCCGGGATAATTTACCCAATCTCAGATAGCTCTTAGGTAAGCCCAGTTCAATGTGTGCCAAAGAAAGGAGGAATGACAGTGATTGCTAATAAGAACAACGAACTCATCCCTACTAGAACAGTGATAGGTTGGCGGGTTTGTATGGATTATCGGAAGCTCAATAATGCCACCTGAAAGGATCATTTTCCCCTACCATTTATTGATCAGATGCTCGATAGATTGGCAGGACATGCTTTTTATTGTTTCTTGGATGGGTACTCCGGATATAATCAAATAGCAATTGCTCCAGAAGACCAAGAAAAGACCACTTTCACATGCCCTTATGGAACGTTTGCCTTTAGAAGAATGCCTTTCGGACTCTGTAATGCTCCAGCCACCTTTCAGAGATGCATGATGGCAATCTTTTCAGACATGGTGGAAAAATTTATCGAGGTATTTATGGATGATTTTTCTGTTTTTGGTGACTCATATGATCAATGTCTTAAAAATCTGGCTTATGTGCTTAAGAGATGTGTGGAAACAAACCTAGTTTTGAATTGGGAAAAATGCCACTTCATGGTTGAGGAGGGTATTGTTCCAGGCCATTGTATTTCTGCAAAAGGGATTGAAGTCGATAAAGCTAAGCTTGAAACTATAGAGAAGCTGCCTCCTTTATCTTCCGTGAAAAATATTCGAAGTTTTCTTGGCCACGCTGGTTTTTATAGGCGATTCATCAAGGATTTCTCCAAAATTGCCAAACCACTTTACAATCTTCTGGAGAAGGATGTGGCCTTTAATTTTGATGATTCTTGTCGTGAGGCATTTACAATCTTGAAGCAAAAACTTGTGTCAGCACCAATAATAGTAGCACCAGATTGGAATCTCCCCTTTGAACTTATGTGTGATGCTAGCGACTTTGTAGTTGGTGCAGTTTTAGGCCAACGCAAGGAGAGGACTTTCCACACAATTTATTATGCCAGCAAAACATTGAATAATGCTCAATTAAATTATACAACTACGGAAAAGGAGCTACTGGCAGTTGTTTTTGCTTTTGATAAATTCCGCTCATATCTCATTGGCACGAAGGTAATTGTCTATACCGATCACTCAGCAATCAAGTACTTAATTGCAAAAAAAGATGCGAAGCCACGCTTGATTAGATGGGTGCTTTTGTTACAAGAATTTGATTTGGAGATTCAAGACAGGAAGGGTACGGAAAATCAAGTGGCAGATCACTTGTCTAGACTGGAAAATGGTGGCCAAGATGGAAGCTCCTCTGTCATTAATAATTCATTCCCGGATGAGCAACTTTTTGCTATTAAACCATGTGAAGTGCCATGGTATGCAGATTATGTGAATTATCTTGTGAGTAACATTCTCCCACCTAATCTCAACGCCCATCAAAAGAAGAAATTTTTACATGATGTTAAGTTCTATTATTGGGATGAGCCTTTCCTCTTTAAGCAATGTGGTGACCAGCTTCTACGTAGATGTGTTCCCAAGGAAGAAATAGAAGATATCCTGTGGCATTGTCACTCTTCGGAGTATGGAGGGCATTATGGAGGCCAGAGAACGGCGGCTAAAGTCTTACAATCAGGTTTCTTTTGGCCCACTCTTTTTAAAGATGCGCACTACTTTGTTTCTAGATGTGATCGATGTCAACGAGTTGGTAATATCTCCCGAAGACATGAGATGCCTCTTAACAGCATTCTTGAAGTGGAATTATTCGATGTATGGGGTATTGATTTTATGGGTCCTTTTATTGCATCATACAACAATCTCTACATCTTAGTGGCAGTCGACTACGTTTCTAAATGGGTTGAAGCAGTGGCATTACCTACAAATGATTCAAAGGTGGTCATACAATTTTTGCGAAAAAATATCTTCACCCGCTTTGGAACACCGCGGGCAATAATTAGCGATGAGGGGTCGCATTTTTGCAACAAATACCTTGAGGCCTTGCTTGCTAAGTATGGAGTTACTCACAAAGTCGCAACTGCCTATCATCCGCAAACCAGCGGCCAAGCGGAAGTTTCAAATAGAGAAATAAAGAGAATCCTTGAGAAAACAGTGAACCCTAATCGGAAGGACTGGTCTAAGAGACTTGATGATTCATTATGGGCCTTGCGAACCGCGTACAAAACTCCGATTGGGATGTCTCCGTATCGATTAGTCTTTGGGAAAGCATGCCATCTCCCAGTGGAATTGGAGCATAGCGCATATTGGGCCATTAAGAAGTTAAACTTTGATTTGCATGCAGCAGGTGAACGGCGTTGTCTTCAATTAAATGAGATGGATGAATTCCGCCTTCAAGCCTACGAGAATGCCAAATTGTACAAAGAGAAGATGAAAAGGTGGCATGACAAGAAAATCTTGGAGCGATAATTCAAGCCAAGACAAAGTGTTCTCCTCTATAACTCTCGGTTGAAACTCTTTCCAGGGAAGCTTAAATCAAGGTGGTCGGGTCCTTTCATCATCACCCAAGTGTTCCCTCATGGAGCAGTGGAAGTCGAAGAAGAAAGTTCAAAACGGACATTTAAAGTCAACGGGCAACGTCTCAATCATTATTGGGGGGGACCAATTGATCGTCAAAAGTCCTCCATCATTTTAGCAGACCCGGAATGATCAACGACAAAGTCAGGCTGAGGACAGTAAACCAAGCGCTTCTTGGGAGGCAACCCAAGCTTTCAAAACTCTAAAATCTTTCGTTTTGTTTTCATTTGCTTTGTTTTTAATTTCAAGTTATTTTCTTGTGTTTTAGGTGTTAAATTTTTCTTATTTGTTTTTGCTTCACTTATGCGGATACACAGGCCCAATCGTCATTCCCACCACCCCAACCTGAACGTAGACTCTCTACAATGGGAAAGGTCAAAACTTACTCGAATGATGAGCTGCATATCCAACACTAAAGCAAGATGTTGGTGGAGATGACAACGATGTTTGACCCTTGCTACAACCAGGTAAGTATTTTTTACTCCCTCCTAATCTTTATTTGAACATTGGAGGACCAATGTGTTCTAAGTTTGGGGGTGGGAAGTATTCTATTTTGTTGCTTGTCTTGGGTATTAAATGATGATCCTATTTGACCACAACAGCCGATGATGAAACCATGGTTAAACTGATTCATAGCTTTTTGGAAGAAAATGAACATTGTCTAGTCTGTGTGCTTGGTTTCGTTGTTAGCTCTGCTTAGTTTTAGAATCTTTGAATTACAATGCACATGGTAACTTGCACATTGTATCATTGTGCCTGCTTAGAAGAAATTTATGGGGATTAGTAAATAAACAGAATATCATGAGCTTTAGAACTCGTCAGATTTTCACTCGAGGCGAAATCCCAAATAACACAAAATTAAAGATATGATTTAGGCCATCTTTGGATCGTTTGAGCCTTTCAAGCTAACCCTTTACATATGTATATCCCTAGTCACCCTTTCGAGCCTATTTTTACCTTTTCTTTTGTTAGCCACTTATTATTTTAGTCGAACTTTTAGCTTTCATTAAATTCCAATCTTTCAACCTTTAATCTTGAACATAATTGATCATTCTAGGAATTACTTTGAGCCATGTTAAAGTAAGAAGGAATGGGCGAAGAGGTGAAAGTGAAGAAAGGTGAAGCTTGTTTATTTATTCAAAAAAAAACAAAAAAAAAAAGACAAAAAAAAAAACAAAAAAAACAAAAAAAACAAAAAAAACCTCAACACTCCGAGGCACTTTTGCTGATTAGGGATGTTATTTCCTTACCCTTCATGTTCTTTCCTTTCACAACATTGAGGATAATGTTGATTATAAGTTTGGGGGTAGGAGATAAAAAAAAAACAAAAAAAAAACCAGTGAGTTGATGAAGAGAATTGAAGCCAAGTTGGGGGAATTATGGGGAGTGTTAAAAAGCTCTACAAAAGGTCCTAGAATGGTTAAGGTACTTATGTTCTGAGTCACGTTATTATCTATATCATACCATTACCTTAGCCCAAAAAAAAAAAAAAAAAAGTCCTAATGATCTTTGGTATTGTGTTGTCGACATTAGTGGAGAGTGAAATGAAAGGCGAGCTTATGAAGTTCATAAATTAATATATTTAGAGACTCTTAAACTAGAACTGGTCTGCATAAATCAATCTGAAAGACTTGTGATAAAGTGGTAAGAGTTACTCACACACACACACATACATAAAGAATCTAAGCTAAGTAGGGTTGATAACGGAGCTGAAATTCTAGACCTTTTCAATGTCATAAATTTCCTTGGAGTTATGAAATATGTAGCATCTTTGAGGCATAAGTGTGGGCAAAAAGGAATCATTGTTTGATATCAAGTTGTTCTGTACAGTGCTAAGCTTGCTGATGGGTTGAATGTCAGTTTTAATTTTCTTTGCTCGAGGACAAGCAAAACACTAAGTTTGGGGGTATTTGATAAGTCGGTTTTATACCGGTAAGTTGAATACTTTTGACTTGGAGTTTTGTTAGTTTGAGAGCCAGTTTAATGGTGTTTCGAGTGTTTTTGGATGTGTTTCACAGGTGAAATAGAAAAAGGTTATTGGATGATCATAATGTGGATTTTCAAATATAAATTTTCTTTCTGCAAAAAAAAAAAAATAATAAATAATAATTGTGAAGTGTCAAGCGTCCAGGTGGCAAAATTTAAATTTGGAATACTAGAAGATAAACTGGAATGCTTATCCAAAAAAAAGATTCGGATTATCTCTTGGGAGACTTGAAATTCAAAGCTTTCCTCTACGGAGAACTATATAAACTAAGAGATGGACTTATGTAACAGAGGGGGGCGTGCGGCTAAAAGAAAAAAAAAAAGAGAATTTCTACTACGCAAAGAGAGATTGTCTTCTATTTCAATTGCAGATTGAGGAAGAAGGTCGGAGAGAGGGAGATCGTGATCGCCAATTTTTATCATAATCTTTCTTCTCTTCTGTTTTGATTTGTAATTTTAATTATGATAATACTCAATTCAGTTTTGCTCTTTAGTTTTATGATGAACTAATTTATTTTTCTAGGATTGCAATTGGAACTCAACATGAATCTTGAATTTATTTATTCTATCTCTTGACTTAAATTGATCAATATTGAATTGTTTATTCTACCTTGTGCTTAATGCTTCTAATTAATTGATCACTAATTAGATTGATTTGGTAACCTTAATGAACTTGGAAAAGGGATTTTTGTGTTTAGCCTTAGATAGAATGACACATGATTAAGATATGGAGCCTTTTAGATAATTTAGACCTCTCGGTTAACAATTTAATTTGATTAATTTGCCAAGAGAGGATAGAGAGATTCAAGTGAAGTGTTGAGGGAAGATTGAAATCCTAGGTTTTTTTTTATATATATTAAATTTCCGTTGTGTGATCTTTTTAGTTGATTTTCTTTAATTTACATTTTGCTCTCTGTGAACTCATTATTTTCTTTTACTTATTATTCTATTTTATTGTTTAAATAAAGTTGAGGTGGTCTAATTTAATATTTAGCAAGTGTAGTAATAATTCTCCATGGGAGCGATACTTTATCTCATCATTATATTACTTGTTATCGATACGTGCACTTGCGTTATAAAATTACCAACAGTAATGGCGTGTCGATCTATGTCCATGGTCATGAAAACCGTCATAGCTTGTCAAAGAAACAAGAACCTCTAATCATGACGAATCTCCTGTTGGTTACCGAATCGAATTCGGATGCGGAAGCGTTGGGGAGGAGCGGATCAAGTATAACAAAAATTTTCATAAAACCTTTGAGTACTCTTTAGATTATATTAATTTATGCACAAATAAATTAATCACATTAATTTATTTATTAAGAACTCAATTAGGAATAATACCTGACGGCCGATTAAGATGATAACTTGAGTTCTTTGACCTCGAACAATCCTTGCTCCAAAGCCTTGTGTTTAGAAAACCAATGTCTTCCACGTCAATTCTTAAAATCCACAAAAACGTGTGTGTGGACACACCTGAGACAAAACGGATTAGAATAAACACTCAAATTTTCACAAACACCAGCGCATGCACGATGTGAAATTTTTTGAGACAAATTTTTCCTTCCCACAATAAGAGAATTTCGGCCACAATAAAATATTAGGTCAAAATATTGTTCAAAAAGAGTGTCTCATAATTTCTATCATTCTCTTATTTATAGAGTAGAAGTCAAACTTCTAGAAGAAATCCAAACTCTATCTCCAAGATAAAGCTTGTTAATTATCTCCTATTTGAATTTGGAACAAAATCTCCTCTTCTCTTTTATCCATTATGGCCGGCCGTAGATAAGGGATTTTATCCTTGTGTAGGCGCCAATATCAGATAGGGAAGGAAGAGAAAATCATCATTTATCCTGCAGTCCAATTTTGACTCAAATTCAAATTTCAATTTAAGTCAAACTTAAATTAATTTGAATTATAAATTGAACAACTTATCAAATAAGTTTAAATGGATAAAACTAGATGTGTTCAAATTCAAATTTAAATAATCACATTATTTAAATAATAATTAATTCTCAATTAATTATTTTCGAGTGTTTAATTTTAGAATTTCATAATTCTAAAATTCTCATTTTGCCCTTTGTGTCTGGTAGAATTATAAGGATGACGCATGGACTAATGGACCTATAATCCCAAGCTTCAATAAAATTAATAATTAATTAAACACTTTAATTAATTAATTGATTCTATTAATTCCAATAGTTACTTCACTATAAACTTAGAATTGCACTCTCGAAATTATAGACATAAATTACTTATAAACTGTGAAGTGTCCATTTGATATAGTCACTGCATATAGATCAATCCTCCATAAATAATTCATAATTAGAGCTAGGTAGAATCTGTTAACCTCTCTAATTATATATTTATCCTTGAGTACCATTGATTCTCTAATGGACAGTGATTCATAAAACACATTCATGAATCGGAGCTCCTACTGGTCCAAGTACCAAATCAACCCTCAAGAGAATTATTTATCTACTTCTTTCTAAAAAAAGAATGGATTCATCTCGTATAATAACATTCCCGACTACCTACTTCATCATGTCTCCAAAATACAAGGAATAACATTCAGGATCTCAAAATCTGTACTGAGTAAATCAAAAGACACAAATCCATAAATATGAGTCTGTTAAGAACTCAGGATTAAGATCATTCTATATATGACCATCGGTAAACTCAATTAAAATTTCTATACTTAACGAAAATTATTAGATTTTCATATTGTGTCTGTGTCCTTGTTCCACATAATCTCATTATGTGTAATACACTCATTCAATATCTCGCCATATTAACAGTACGGATAACACCATTCCATTCTTAATGGGAATGACATGTATTAGTAATGTTCTAATTAAAGATTCTGAACTTTAATTAAATTTATTACGAGCATCGTTTTTTGATTATTATCCTTAAACATTATCCTCTTGCATATAACACTTAAATACTATGTTTAAGGTCACATAAATAATGATGGAATTTTCATTAATATTCATAAAATATTCACAAATATATACACATAAAATGATGAATAAAATCTTTTATTAAATAAATAATAAATATCCTATTACATATTATGCTTCTAGGACATCATTCCTAACATCTCCTTCAGTCAAGATCTGAGCACTTGCCGGCGGAGATCTATCGGATGTAGTGCACGACAGAATCAATCCTTTTCTAGGCACGACGTCGATGGAAGTGGCGGCAGAGCTCGCCGGCGTTCAAAGAGAGGGAGATGGTAGAGAGAAAAGACATAAGAGAGAGGAGGAATTTAAGAGATAGAAAAACTGACGTGGATGAGAGAGAGATTGAGAAAAATGAAAAAAAAAAAAAAAAA